GCCCCGCACGCTCGCTAGCGGTGTCCCTGCCTCACTTCTGAACCCCTTCTCCCGTCTCTCCAGGACAAGTTTGGTGAAGCAAATCGAATTCAGTTTCCGGTCACAAGCCATCGCCTCTCCCAGAGCCACCGTGTCAAAAGAACAAGAAAAGTTCGGAAAAGTACCGTTTGACTATGCCAGTTTTGATGCCCAAGTTTTTGGCAAACGTCCTCTTGCACAAACAGGGCAAGGGCGAAAAACGCCACCGTTCCCTGAATGTAAGCTTCAAATTCTAATTCTAGTGTTTATCCCAAGATGTATCTTGCTTACGTTACTTACAGGAGACAAGAGACGGTATATATTGAGTAGTGAAGTAAAACGAAAACAGTAAGTGAGCCAGTATTACGGATTTTGTTTTGTCTGTGAATAGCGAAGAGTAAATGGGTTGTTCCACAAATATAGTAAATATAGTATCACATTTTGGTTCAAATACAGCAATTCTAAAGATACTGGATTGGGATTAATACATTGATATTAATGTGATATGCTATTATGTGATAGCTTTTATAATTATTTTTGTTCATGCTGAAATTATAGAAATCTAATAGATAAAAATGTTGAAATACTATTTAGAGTAATACTGGAATCACCAGAAAGCATTTGGGGGAAAAGGTGAACACCGTAAGCGATGCAATTTGGGAATCAAGATTTCCTAGACAAGTAATATATTAGCAGTTGAAAAGTTAGTTACAGATTTAAGAATTGATATGGAAGTACTTAAAGTGGATTAATACTCTTTAATTATAAGGTCAGCAAGACAGCTCAGTCGACTGCGTGCCTGCTTAGGCAAGTGCAGGAACTGGGTCTCGAACTCCAGCACCATTTGCTGTGCCAGGCCTGCCGGAGGTACACTGAGCAGCCATAGATTCCAGGTGTGGGGACACAGGACAGGAATCCCTGCCCTGGGAAGCAGGAGGGTCACTGTGAGCCCAAGCTGAGTAGTGAGACCCTGCACCAAATACGTCATAAAAACAAAAATAATAATACTCTTGAATGATAACATATCCACATAGAAGAACCCCTACCAAAGATGGTGTAGTCAAACTCAGTGTTTTGATATACACATTTCTTTAAGTTGTTTCAAATTTTTTAAATATTCTAATGGAAAGGCAAGAAAGTGCATGTTGTGGCAAAAACACAGGAAATGATTCTTTTTTAGAAAATGATTTTATTGAGAAACAAATAGCAATGAGACAGTTTCAAAACCGATTAGTAGGACAGTTTCAATAATTAATACATTGCATATTGTTGTCTTAGTGGTTATTCATTGTACAAGATGCACACATGATTCTTGAGTTAGGGTAACTGAACTTTCACACAGCAGCTAAATCATTACCACCTGGAGTTTTTTAATCATGCTGAAGCCTATGGAATGCCCCGCTCACTAGGTCTAGGGCACTTAAGAACGTGCTTCATTGTGTCATGTCATGTTGGTCCATTCTTTTAGAGAACTAGAAGACTGCATACAACCCAGCAGGGAGTTGGGGTTACAGACAGGCACAGCTCAGTGGCAGACGCTTGCCTTGAGTTCCCCAAATCCTGGTCCAATCCTGTTGGACCTCCCCCCCCTGTTGAGGGGGGGCAATATCACGAAACAGACTTCAGGGAGTCTATCTCAGTGAGGAGTACATTATTTTCTGAAAGATATTTTATTTTGCCAAAAATATGTAGCATCCAAGGACCAGCGATATAGCTCAGCAGACTAAGCACTTGCCTAATTAAGCACAGGGGCCAGTGTTCGATCCCTGGCGCTGCATTCCACGCCAGCCCTGCACCTGGGGCATGCTGAGCCAGCGATTGAGTCTGGGTGTGGAGACACACACTATAATCCCAGAACTAGGGAGGCAGAAATCAGGAGGATCACTAGAGTCTGAGCTGCGTAGTGAGACCCTGCACACACACACACAAATGTAGCATCCAACATAAATAGCCACTGACAACTACTTAGATTCAGAAAACATTATATATATATATATATATATATATATATGAAACATTTTGTGCTTATAAAATTATATATACTACATATGCACAATATATAGCCGTATAATATTTTTAATTCAGATAAAGCTAGCTAATAAAAGCATTCTTTACACTCACCTACTATAGATACTGACTTCATAAACTGCAAAACATTTGATGAGTTTTCATGTTCTTCTAACTATAGGAATAGTATTTGCTGACATTTTATATTTTGCTTTATGGAAAGTAACCAAACACTGAAAATAAATAATAATACAAACAGATAACTGAGTGCTTTTCTGTCAGCCTCATTAAATCTTGGGAGTTTCTCCTATAACCTTGGGTAGTGCTCCTAACCACCCATGGCCAAGAGACATGTGTGAAATTCCACCTCTCGGCGACACACATGACAGAAGCACAGAAAGGAGACCCAGCCTTGATGACCAGACTGCCTTCCTGCTCACCTTGGGAGTGTCTCTCTCTGTCCTCTGCCTATCTCCCTCTCCCTGAGCGTGCAAAATGCAAGCTTGTCCAAGTCTCCCCCATCTACTTAGTTCCACCTATTTGGATGAAAAATAATTTCTACCTGTTAAGTACAGAGCAGGCCTGCATATCAAATAACAATAGCATTTCATGTCTAAGTATAAACTGTTGTTCAGAAAGCAGATATTTGAAGGGTATTTTTTCCTATACTGGAACTATGAGTCCCACAGATACACAGTTTTTACATGTGCATGCCTCATGTTGTTGTACTTGCTGATAGGTTTTGTTCATGTGTTTTTTCATCTGCAATTTTTTTTGTCACAAATGTTGCCAGTGCACCTGTGCTGTAACATTAGGTGCAGAGTTTTTGCCATAAGAAGTGCAGATACAAAAAATATTAAGAGAATAGGTGCCCCGTCTCAGCAATCACACCATTTGATCTGTGAACCTTGGTTAAAACCCATCTGAATAACCTTCATTTAATATACCAATGGCTAATGGCTTCTGCTTTAATTTATTCTTCACATATTTGATACAAAAAGTTATATCTTTAAAAAGACAAATCTGTTTAATGACTAAAACCACATACATGCAATTGCTAATCAGATCTCTCTTCAACAGCAAAGCATTTTTCACATCCAGTGAAATTTCCTAATCGACTGCCTAGTGCAGGCGCCCACACGCAGAGCCCAAGCGGTGCCAGCTCTTATGGCTACGGTCAATGCAGTGAAGACACCCACATAGCAGCAGCTGCTGCCATCCTGAACCTTTCCACCCGCTGCAGGGAAGCCGCAGACATCCTCTCCAACAAACCACAGAGTCTGCATGCCAAGGTAGGCCAGTCCAAGAGCCCGGAGGGTGGGCCAGCGCCTCAACCGTGAGAGTAAACTGCTTTCCGTGTTCCTGATCACATTCGCCATGACCCTGTGCCCCTCCCCAAAGCCCTCCCGTCCTTCTTAGGGAGAGAGCACAGGCAGGGTGTGCTCTGGGGCTTCACAGGAGAAAGCATGCATTTCTCGGGCAGTGGCTCTTCTGGAAAGAAGGACACCAAAGCTGGAGGAAAAGTGACCTAGGGAGGCTAGTTGGGAGAGCTTACAGATTTCCAAGCTATTTTTTGTTTGGCATACAAGAAAAGAAAACTGCTGCTAGAATAAATCTCCACCATGGATTCTTTTTGCTTTCTGCAAACCAAAGATGATAAGAAATATTTGATTTAATGGGTCTGGTAAAACATGGGCAAAACGGGCCTGGGCAATTTTATTATTGTGCCCGCGACTGTTCTTTAACATAAGGCGGCCTAGGTTGCAGGGTTTTCGCAAGGTGCACTACAAAACCCAGACACATTAAAGCAACCAGTGGTTCCGGGAAGTCTGAGGATTTGAAAGTGCTCCAGTCCACGATCAAATTTTGTGCTTGTCACAAAAATGCTCCATTTCAGAACTGCATAAAATGAACCACGTGATTCTGAGAGCCTTTCTTTCCGACTATGAGAAGCCCATATCCGTGACTTGCTCAATACACACAAAGACCCTCGAGTCTTGCCTTTCACAGTAGGGGACTTGTCATGTCAGGACTTTGTTCACCTCTTCTTGCCAGAGGAGACTGTAAACTTGGCCATCGCCGCAGGAAGGAGCTGGGCACCCCTATTTACATGGAAGGCTTTGTTTAAGTTATCCCCCTGCTTATGTGGCTGAAAACAGCTGAAATAAAGTGCCCAGCCCTATTTGCTAAGAGATTTTACCTTTGCATGAGGTGGGAAATTCCCTGAGCTAAACTTGAACCCTGAAACTCAGGAGGTTAAAGCTCTGTTCTTTTTTCCTCTCTAAGCACAGCCTGTCCCTGGGGGTCGGCCGCTCGCCTGTACCTTGCCAGGCCTTTCGGAGAGCAGGTACACAGTGCCACTGAGCATTTGACAGAAGAATCAGAATCAGCTTCTGGACAGAGCTGAGCCAAATAAACCCCAGGAAGAGTTGGTGGCCAAAAACCACTCAAAAACAATTTTTAAACAAATGAGGTTCTTAAACAAAGAAAATCCTATCTGCTGAAAATATAAAGAATGTACTGCAGTCTCTGAATTCATAACTCGGGAATGCTAGTTATAAATTATTGACATAGGTGAATGAGTGGGAGAATTTTAAAATTTAACTTTATATTTAAATTCATATTTAAATCTGAGTGAGTTCCTTCTTTTATCTAGGAGCATTTGACTAGGCATATAGTTGTAGAAATAGTAAATGTCTTCCTGCCTAGTTCTTTATTACTTGATGGTTTAGGCTGTCCTGTGAGAATAAAAGTATCAATATTGTGGTTAGGAACACTAAATTGCTGAAGGAATGGTGCCAAGATAAATGCTTTCCATCTTATTTATGTGCTTTTCCATTCCTCAGATTCTTCTGTTCACCATAAGATTCTCCATATCCCATTAAACTGTGGCTATCAAACCAATGTAACAAAGATGACTAAAGTATGAACAATTTTTCTCCTTATCAATATTTTAAAAACATTTTTGATCAAAAAGTAACTTTAATCAGAACATTTCAAAAACACAAATGATAGATTTCTAGTGCGTATGCCCCACTCCTGGTACTGAAGTGTCTGTGCGGGGACCCTGCTGACCCAGGGTAAGGAGAGATTCACACAGGTACCAGCCTCCTACACAAGACAGACCATCCCAGTGTAATGAGTTTAGTTGGGACAGAAAGCCCACAGGAAAGCTTTTAAAAGAAGCTCTTTATGCCAAGAGTTAAAAAAACCACTTTCTTATGAAAATTATCTCCTTTGACATAGTGGTTGCTAGAACACATGTGGTGTCTGTACTGTCCAAGGAGAATCCTTCTTGGTGCTGTCAGACAACCCCATGCAGCTGTAACAGGAAGTAGGCTTCTGTCCTGGTTGGGTCCTATTTTCTAGATATAGGAGACTCTCACAAATCTCTGAATCAAATAAGAAAAAACATGATTCTTTCACCAAGAGTGAGAAAAGACAAGGTAATTCACCTTGAAAATCAGCCTCTGAGCAAACCCCATTGTGGACCTTTGGGGTTGACCAGTTGCCCTTTGTACCTTGCCCTTGATGTCAGCTTGAGTGTAAATAGTCTTCCCTTCTACACCAAATGCTAGCCTGAATCTCTTTCCACTCAATTAGTTTTTCTTCATGTCAGATTTTTGGTATGTTCATTGTTGATAATCCAGATCTGTACATCTCTTGAGTTTCTCCTTCCAAAAAAAGAGTGGAGGGATGCCTAATTCTACTTTGCTCTAAACCTCCGTAGCTGAGCATCTCTCTCCCTCTGCTCCCGTCCCTCCCTCCCCCTCCCCTTCTGCCTGCCACATCAGCTTCCCCCTCCCATCCCTCCCTCTTCCTCTCTTTCTCCCCCTTCCATTTCCCTCTCCCCCTCCCCAGTGCCTCTTCCTCCCCCTCCTCCTCTCTGTCTCTCTCTCTCTTTCCCCTCACCATACCAGCATAATGAGTTTAGATTACGCCTTCTCCCTCCCCCTCCATCTTCCCATTCTTTCCTTCTCTCTCTTCCTCTCCCTTTCTTTCTCCCTTTCCCTTGCCTTCCCCCCTCCTCTTCCTCTGTCTTTAATGTGGCACCCATAGAATACTGAGCTGCTTCTCCAGTTCTTTTTGAGACAAAGTCTCACTAAACTGCCCAGGCAGGCACCATCATTGTGGTCATTCTGCCTCAGCCTTGCCGGTAGCTGCGTTTACAAGCACACATCCAGCCAGGGCATTTTGATGTGTTAGAAAGACTTCCCAGGAGATGCACTCAAAGTAGTTCCAAGCAGAGCTCTCTAAGTGCAGGACTGCCCTTGCTACGGGGCATATTGGTGCATACTGTGCTCTCAAGGAGCTTAAAAACATGAAGGATGAAGGAGTGGTCCTCCAGGAGCTGTGCCTGCCTTATTCGGAGGGAGGGCTGGGTTTGGAGAAGTGAAGTGGGCTACACCCGGGGAAAACCAATTGCTTTAAGGGGAATCATGTCAGAACTTGGTTGATGGCAGATTGCTCAATTGTTCTTTCATCTCATCTAGTTTTTTATGCAACAATCATCTCTTCAGGTACTTAGAGCACCCAAGAGTAGAATAAAGTCAAGATCATACTGAGCAGTGTGAGGTGGCACATGCCTGTAATACTCCCTAGTCAGAAGGCAGAGGCAGGAGGATTGAATGTGCAGCCGGCCCAGGTGACTGAGCAAGACCACCTCAACATAAAAAAGTAAAATAAAACAATAATAATCATAATCATAATAATAATAATCACGCTGTCACACCTGCAGAATCAAGTCAGAGCCTCCTCTGCTCAGAATTGACATCATGGGTACTGATGGGGTTGAAAACATTCTTTTCCTGCGGTTTCTTGGCACATGTCGACTCTGAGTTTAATGGGAGATTTAACTTAGTCCTTTTTGCAAGCTTGCTGCTCTAATGATCATGGGAGCGGAGGGTGTTTTTAGAGGGACAAGAAAACCTCTGAGTTCCCACACAGTCTAAAATTGGTAAAGGGTCTGTGTTTTCTCCCTCTTAGAGTTTCTTGGTGCTGAGCACTGAGACACTTCGGCCCTCTGGCTCCGCCAGCACTTAGGGCTGACATAGGGGTTCCCGTCCTGCCATCCGTGCCGTCAGCCCCCAGCAAGCACCAGTCCTCCACTGTGCTCAGTATGTGGGACGCCTGTGCATGTTGGACTTGGCTAGTCAGTGCCCAGACCAGGGCTCTTTGCACCCTAACAGTAGAAGACTTGAAAACAAATTATTTACCCTTTACAGTGCCATCTGGCTTGCCTGAAACATCTTGACCTGCTTGGTTTTAAGTGTCTCTTTAAGGAACCAAGTCACGAAAACATGATCCGTAGACATCACCGAGATGAAAGGTGGTGTCATCTGCAGTATGAGCTCTCTTTTGGTCCCAGATTGTGCATCATTTCTAAGAAGTATATAATGTCCAGCACTCCGAATTGGCACTAGTATGAGTTGTAAAACATAAATGTGCCACAGATCTACATCCCCCCCTCACCAGGCTGCTGTGGTGTGGGACAGCCTCACAGCCACAAGCAGAGAGTGACTCCTGCGGTTAGCTGATGACTGTCCCCCAGCACCCATAGGCAGCCCGGGCCAGCCTGAGCCAGCGCTGCTCCCGTCTTTCTTCCTCCCCACCCCATCCTGATGACAGAGGTAGGAGCTCGCTTCATGGTCTATCTTTATCCTTGTCGCTGCTTGCCAAGCACTCTGTTGTTTATTTTGGTCTTCTCCCCACCTGTTTAGACAAAATGACATATGCACAGTGTGCCTTAAAAGAAAACAAAAAATTGACACTTGCTTGAAATGATTAAAGTTCAAAGTCTGTTTTGTGCTTGAACAAGGCCCAAAAGCAACATGACGTCGCAGTGCCACTCTTGAGCCTCTTATCAGGAATGGCCTGGTGCCCTGCGAGACACTTAGAAGCCCAAAGCAGTTTCTTCTGCAACTGTACCATGAGGCCCGATCACACCATATGTCTTGGTGAGCTGGATGGGTGATGTTGAGTCTGGGGTTACGGATCGCACAGCGGGGAGATAGATACGAGATGTGTAGTAACTGGCTCTTTAACTTTGTGCGCAGTGGCCCTGAGCCTGTTTCTTTCGGTGTTCAAATATTCAGTCAAATTATTACTATTGTTACCTAGCATTTGCTGTACACTTACTATGTGCAGCTACTGTACTTGAGCACTTTGTCTCTGGGAACCATTTTTAATCATTCTAGAAACTTTGTAAAGTGCGTAATATTCTCCCATTTTGCACAAGAAGAAATGGGAGCGGTTAGATAGCGAGTGATTCTAGGAACGGAAACTTCTAGAATTGAAATCTAAATTCACAGCACCCTTCTTAAGACTTTACTGTGTATACACCCTCAGCCCATACCATGGCCTCAGTTCCCAAAGATTGGGGAAGGGTGTATTTATAAATTTAATTCAAATTTGCTATCTAATGTCAGTCAATTCTCTACACTCCATCATTCTGGCTGTTTATTTATTTATATTGGTGCTGGGGCTTGAACTCAGGACCTTGCACTTGCCAGTGCTTAAGCTGCTGAGCCATCTCCCCAGCCCCATCATTCTATTTTATTCAGTAATAGTTTTCAATTTTATTATCTTAAGAGTCTCAACTCCCACTGAGAGTGAAGTACTTTCATTGTCTATCTATTAATATATTGCCTGCTTTGAAAACGTAGTTATGAGAGCTGTCAGAACAGAAAAGACTCCCTGCCCCAAACAAATGTGGGAGTGAGCCACCAGGGGAACTTTGGCAAATGTTGCAGAAGCCCAGGTAGAAGGAGCAGGGTTGGCACTGTGTCTTAGCCAGCTCAGAAAGAGATTTGAAGGGCTGGCCAAATAGCTCAGCAGATTAAAGCACCTGCAAGCAGGTGCATGGACCGGCGGTTCGATCCCTGGGCCTGTCCTGCCAGCCCTGTCCCCGGGGCATGCTAAAATGGCAATTGAGACTGGGTGTGGTGGTGTGTGCCTGTAATTCCAGCTCTTAGAAGGCGGATCACTATAAGTCTGACCTAGTAGTGAGACCCTGAACACCCTATAGACCCTTCCCTAGGAAATACAAAACAAAAAAAAAAAAAAAGAAAGAAAGAGATTTCATGTGCCCTGCCCTGGCTGAGAGGAGGCCTGCCAGTGAAGGAGCACAGTGCTACTGTATTTTACCAGTGTCGTGAAAATTAGTAACTTTTATAATTGAGCACTAAGGGAATTTTTTTTTTTTTTTTTTAAACTAGGAATCAAACCCAGGATGTTGCAATTTCCAGGCAGGCACCGTGACACCAATCTATCTCCCCGACCCCAATAAATTTGTTTTTATGTCATCAGCACTTTGAATTTCTAATTTCTAATTGTTAAGACAAGGTAATGTCATTTGTCTGGCATGTAACGGGGAGAGCAGCTGTAAGTTTGTTCTGTAGGTGCAGCGGTTGGCGTGCTATCTCTCTCTTTCACTGGGAGGACAGTAGCAGGGCTGTGCGGCTACTTCCTATTTTCAATCACGTAAGGATTTCTCCCATTGCTGCATAGGCAGTATTCAAAATTATCATTTTACTACCCACGTAATGTACCACTCAATAATGATCCATAATTTTATTAATTTTTAATTTCATTTCTCCATTGTTGGGCCTTTAGGTAACTGCTTATTTTATAATACAGATAAAATCGTAAGCAAGGGCTCTTTCAACTTTGAATTTAATAATCATTTATAATACCTTTATTAAATTACTTTTCACTAACAATCTGTATGCATGAAATAAGCTTCTTGATGGCAGGAACAGCCTCCCTTTCAACTTCTTTTTTCTCCGAAATATAGTGCGATGACATATGAAGCGCCTTGTTAATAATTTAATGAATATGTAAGGGGAGATGGCATCTGTGGCTCGCAAGGGGATGGAAGAAGTGGCATTTGATTTCCCTCCTAAGTTGGAAAGAGCACGAATGCTATTAGGTTTACACCTAGCCTTAAAAACTTTAAAATTTAAATGTAATTATTGAAAGCAAGGGCCCCACACAACACTTTGAGGAGTCAGAGTATTAGAGGGGGTGGAGGACGGTCAGCTGCGCTGCCTTCTCCTCCACCCGCCTCTCTCCCCTCCCTGCTTTTCTGCGCTGCCCTAGAAGCGATGCCTATTGGTGTAGCTCGGAGTAAAACCCCATGCCATCAGTGCATGCTCCCCATCGGTGGGCAGAAAGAGGCCCTCCCCGGCCGCTGTGTGCGATGGTTGGATGCATCTGGGGCTTACTAAAGCCCATCTGTACCCCAGTCCCCAGGGTGCGGCTCGCTGCCGCCCAGGGAAGTCAGGCGCTCAGGGCCACGGCTGGGCACAGGCTGTGGAACGGTGCCTTTTTCAACATTAGGAGAGATTTTTTTCAATCAAGCTCTGATTGCCCAAGATCTATGATCATAAGAGCGCCTAGAGTCTCTCATTTTTAAAATTTAATATTTAGAATTCTTTTCCTGTAACAACTAAAATATACGTGAGCACTGTCTTAGACTAGTTGGTGTTTGTCAGAAATCAAACCTGCACTATTTATGGTTTTGCACTATAAAACTCTGCAGCCCAGTCACATGGCTTCTTTTTCCTAAGCCATCTGTCACAGAGGTCTGGAATTTTATGTGAATGTTGGTTGTGCAGTCTTCACCCAAGTTTTAAATTTTTTTTTTTTTATGAAAAATGTCAGCGACTACAATATTTAGCATTTTACTTTACATTGGCCATTAAACTTGATTACTACAGCTCTGTTTCACTGCCACAGCTACGTATCGGCTGTAAAGCTGAGAATCGTATTGATGTGCTCCTGGCAGAAGGCAGTGTGACACCGCGGAGGGGAGTGGCGTGTGGCACTGAGATGGTTAATGCCTTGGATTTTTGTAACTAAGGTTTATTAATGCTGGTATAAAAAAACATAGTTGATATTATACAGATGGCATAAGATGTTGTGGTTACTACGTTATTATCCCGGATAAGCTGTACTGTCAAATTCAGGGCTTAAAACTATCACAGGAGATTAAACTATTTGCTAAAAAGGGGCAGAAAGATACAGCCAAAGCATCTTAGTACAACATATTAGACGTGTATTTACTTCCCAGGGAGCATCATGCAGTGTATCTGCTGCTAGACGGAGAGCTGGAAAACAGGAACTTTGTAGATAAAACACGCAGGCAGAAGAGGTGTGCTTATTTATTTTTTTTTTTTTTCCAATCAGGCACACAGGAACCAGCGCAGCCAGGGACAGCTGTGGGGGAGGGGAGCTAAAGTGCCTTCTCTGGAAAGCGACGGTGACCACAGGAGTTAGGGTTCTTGCTAACGTATTCAAGAAGACATCTGCTTTGCTCACAAAAAGGAAAAAAAAAAAAGAATAAAGCAATTGTCAAGAAGCTAATTATAAGCAGGTAGATGATGGTGAAAATACCAGCAAGGTGTCATCTGACCTATTTGGAACAATGACAGGCGCGCTCCTCCAGCATTTGGGTCTTACTGTACAGAAATAATTGCAGTTCCTGACTACATCAGCCGTCCCGTGGTGCGGGTCTTGAAGAAGATCCAGAACTTGCAAGCAGCTTCCTGGGACTAGAACCAAATATAAAACGACGACTGTTCCTTGAAAATTAAAATTGATAAGCTTAGCAGAAGTAGTTGCTGGGAGGAACACTGGGAGATAGCGTTAGCGTTAAGTCCCATCTTGAGTATCGGGAAAATAAATACCCTGATTCTGAAGTTTTGCTATAGAATTTAATCCCCAAACACTTCAGCAGTCAGTGAACTGCACACTACTCTGTCTGTCTCTCTTTCCTCCCTCCACAATCTAACAAAGCTTTTCCAGTTCCTGCAAACCTGGGTGAAATGTTGCTCTTGTATTAATCTAATACTCCCATGAAAATTCTCTCTCCCGGCTGGTTATGTTTGCATATTTCTCATGTTAGAGTGATACAGCGATTTGGGGGGAGCAGGGAGTTCTACATGCCTCTTGATAACCACAAATGATAATGCCTTAAGTGGAGAATTTGGAGGGATAATTCTGTAAAGTAGAAAAGAAGATTTAAGGCTGAACTTTTAAAACATATATATACATAAAACAATTGCAGCCAATACATTTAGTGTTTCAAACACCTTATTTGTATTAAGCTGACTTTGTTTAAACCCAGAAACACAAAGCTCACTAATGGGGCTGTTCTTAAAAGTCTGCCTAAGAATTGAAAAGCAAATCACAAAGCTAGATTTAAAAGCAGATAGACCTCTGTAAAAGCTGACATTTAAAAATTATCCCTTGAAAGCCTTGTATGACTAGGCTGTCATTGCAAACTGCTTACACATTTTTGTTTCCTGTTGTATACCAGGGAGCCGAGATAGAAGTGGATGAAAATGGCACATTGGACTTAAGCATGAAAAAAACCCGAATCCTGGACAAGGCTGCACCCCTCAACCCCTCTCACTCTGCCATCCCAACACCCTCCTCATCGCCCTTCAACGCAAGCAGCATTCTGGTCAATGCGGCATTCTATCAAGCTCTCTGTGACCACGAGAGCTGGGAGACGCCTATCAACTATAGCAAGGCTCACGGGAAGCCAGAGGAAGAGAAAGAGGTATGGTTCTAATGCGTCAGTCAAAAAGTTCAAGAGCAATATGACAGTGCAGTGGTGTGAGCTTTTTTCCCTCGTAAGTCATATCTTACATTCCTGTTTTCATAATACGCAGTCCAATTCCTTGGTTTAATTTTTTGATGAAGCTATCATTTGAGCTTTGAGATGAACTAAAAAGATGAACCCAACTTGTCTCATCACTTTTTTAAAATGTCAGTAGAGTAGATTTTGTTCTCATGGTGTATTAGTTGTCTGCGCTACAAAGAAAAATCTCTTACATTGCCATCTGTAGGCTCGCTAGGGAGCGGTGCATTGTTCAACACAGAAAGGCCAGCCCACTAGAACGTTCTGAACCAGAGGGTCAAAGGTGAGGGCATCTTGAAAGTATGTTGACCTCATTATATGTTGAGAGAGAGCTGCACTGGCCTAGCTATGGTGTCCTCTTTTGAGGTCCTGGGTTTTGGGTGTTATATGTCTTAGTTGTATCAGCCCTGAAGTTGGGAAACACACTTGTGCATTTGATCATCTCAGAGGAGATTTTGCCCCCCAAATCAGAACTTGTGATAGGGGAGTACCCCGTCTAGTGTCATTCTCTGTAGTCTGAGCCCCTGACTTGGTCTGATTGGCCATGGTCTACATGGTGTCCCTGACAAGGCTTGGCAGCCTCAGCCCCCACTGTTTAGTCTACGTGGCCAGAGGTGTGACCCCAAGGATTAGGGGGAATTATCCTATATTTTCTGTCTGTCAGAAAAGCCACTGGTGGACTTGTGAGTTGACATGCTTACAGGACCAAGTGATCCCTTCTTTGGAGAATGTGCACCATCTTTTTCAGCTTTGTGAATTCCAGAGACTTGGTGGGGATCTCATTTGAGTTTTGCTTTTACAACTCAGCATGTGAGTTGGCATACACAGTCATGATCACAGGACTGGGCTCTTACACCCTCCCTCCCCTCCTCCCTCCCCTCCTCCCTCCCCTCCTCCCTCCCCTCCTCCCTCTCCCCCTTCCTACCTCCTTCCTCCCTCCCACGCACGCTCACCGGCACCTCCAGGTCCAAGCAGTGGGCTGGGTCCTGAAGCTCCAGCAGCTAATAGGACGCGCCCTCCCACGCACCTGCACCTCAACCACAGGTGTGCCCAATGCACTAACAAACAGAGCCGCACAAGCAGGCCCCAGAAGAGAGGTGCTGTCTGAGCCCAGATGGGATGCCAGAGACAGTTTCCCTGAACAAACCAGCACCCTAGGATCTGTGGCACCCCAGGTATGCCCCGATCCATGCCATCTACGGAAAGATGAAAGCAATCACAAGACATCAGTGTTTGATTAGACTCTGTCCTAATGGCTTTAGCCTTTTTGGGTTTTTAAATGCACCTTGAAGTATCTCAAAGTGGTATTAATTAATTCATTAATTAATATCACTTTCTCTGAAATTCTTGAGACTAGACTTGGTGTAGACTTGGGGTTTTTCAGATCTTGGACTGTTTACATAAGATCTATTAGTGAAGCATCCCTAACCCAAAACTCTGAGATGCAGAATCCAAAAGTTTTTGAGTGTTATGTTGGTGTTTTGGATTTCAGATTTTCAGAATAAGGATACTCAATCTCTGATTTAGAATTAAGTCCTATTGGACAATATAGTTCATGTTTGAGGATAATGAACGTAATACTGACATAGGCAACGTACGAGAGTCTCATTTACCTAGGTGATGGTGATGAGCCGGCACGGTGTCTGTCATCTGCAGTACAGCAGCCCCTGCCACCTAGGCTTGTGGGAAAGAACCCAGGCCACACCTGACTTCGGGCTAGCTCAGCATTCGTCAGAATTCACATTTCTTGGTCATCTGGCACAACTTCTCCAAAATGGAAGGAGGGAGCAGGTTAGGACAGGCTGCCTTTAGCAAAGACAAAGATTCTCCAGTTCCCAGCACTGCTGAGTCTCTAACCATCTGGCTTCCAGTTAGATCCCAGCACACGTTTCCCATCCCCCTGTGGGAAACCTGTCCCGGAGCACGAGATCTGTGGGCGTGGACTGAGAAGTCAGTGGCGCCCGGAAGACAGTGCTTGACAGAGTAGCTGTGACTGTGTCCCTGTCTTTGCCTGCATCATGCACAATCAGAAGCCTAACATACGCTGGCCCTGACAGCGTCCCAGTGTCATGGGCCGGTGGCGTCAGGCTTTCTGTTCTCAGCCAGTGTTGGCAACCGACTGTCCTTAGCTCATTCTCCAGAGACCTTCCTGCATATTTGGACTCAGTGTAAGACAAACAGATAGACCCAATCGCGCATAGTAATGAAGCAAACTTACACCAGCTGGATTTTGCATTTCATGTAGGGCATCTCACACTGTGTGACATGCACTTGGCTTTGGTGTCCTTACCAAGGTACCAGCCTCGCAGCTTGAACTTGAGAACACCCCCTCGGCTGTCCTTACTACCCAAGGAACCAGAAAAGGAGTCTCACAATACCTACTTTGTCTTTACTTTCTGAGTTCATCTTGCCAGTTTTGTAGTGTCCACTGAGTATGTTTTTATCTAATGCATAGAGATCTGTAACAGTGTTTCATTTTCTTGAAAATTCACAAAGAAATGAGGAAAGGGTTTATTCAGACTAGATTTTTTTTCAAAATGGCTTACATTACTTCAGTTCTGACAGGACAGTTTCTACGGCTGCAGTTTACATTCTGAGTATTTTGAAGCCTGGAACTTAGAAGCTATGCTAAGCTACGGACTCCCATGCCACTGACAGTGACCAGGAAGAATTGGAGATGCTAAATGTGTTCTTTGACTCAAAGTTTTTGTCCTAGGGCTGGGTTGGCAACATTCTGTCAAGCTAGATGCTTGTCCAAGCTATGTGCACTGGGAGATTCGTTGCTTGTGGTTGATGGGAATAGACGCAGTGCGCTTCTGGACCCCTGCACCTCCCTCATTCGCCTTCTGGGGTGTGTCCTCTCCTCTGTGCCTAGGTAATCCACTGGCAGTCTTTTCTACAAACAGAAAGTATTTCCCATACCCTGTTCTAATTCTGGACCACAATAAATATGAGATGAGTGAGGTCATTTTGGAAAGCTAGATTGCATTCTGTGTTGTCATGGAGAAGATCTAAGGGTCCCAGATGCAGTAAGAACAAAGGCAGAGAAGCTACATATGCAGGTTTGCATTATCCCAGTGATTCTGCAAAGCAGGATTACTACTGCGTGTCTTAGAGAAATTGACACTGACGGAGGTACCATTGTGAATCCTCAACTCCGCAGTGATCAGTGGTCCAGGAAGGCCTGAAAATCAAGAAAGAGGAAGTGAGGGCAGATGGAGACTGAAAAGAAAAATCACCAAGAGGCGGAGACAGTGTAGGGGATATTAAGAAAAAATAGGAAGAAGAATGAAGAGATGAGATGGTGCATGGCGCGGTGTAGTGGAAGCCACTATTGTCTCAGCGCCTTTGAGAATCCAGGAGCGCAGTACTCAGACTCAGGCAGAGCTCCATGATGTGACCACAGAAATCAGGTGTGGCTGCTCATTCTTTTCACTGTCCAGGAGGCTGTCCCACCCCCAGCAAGGCATCACGGCCATCTGAACACCGGAGGTGGTGTGTCCTGCCCCCACCCTATTCTTCTCTGCCATCTCCTGCCCCCGGTCCCCTCTCACATGACACCCACACAAGCAGAAATTGAGTGATTATTTCTAATTCATTGTTATCTGGTTCATACGCACAACAGTTGCTTAATTTTGGTGGTAATTTTCAGAAAATATTGTCTGTCTCTCTCAGTGAAATAGCCTGTCCAGATGCCCCCTAAAAAAAATCATGAATCTGGAAAAAACTCAAAATAACTTGAAAGGAAAGTACTGAGAAATAACTAGGGCTGTCGGTTTCACTCAACTGTCAGTTCTCCAAAGATTTCAGGGCTTCAAATGTTAAAAGTGCCAGATGCTATTATGTTATTCATGTTACCATTATGTTCTGCCTTTACTGAAATCAGTGTAAACTTCCATCTGTACCCTAAAGAATTTCACGGAGTGTGCACGCTCCCTGGACGCACATGTATGCTTTGCTCTATTTTACATATTATGCACAGGGTAAAATTATTATTTCCAAAATGAAACTTTAAATATTGGGGGGAAAAGCTACTTGCAATTTCCATTGATTCATTCTATGCCGGGCACTAATTAGGAATTCATCCAGCGTCAAACGCTTCTGTACAGAAAAAGAACTCTCCTAAGGATGACCACCTCTGCTTTAATATGCACATTCTCCACAAGCTTCCAGGAGTAAAATGTGAAGCAAAGCAATGGAAACAGGGCAGTAGCACACAGAAGAGTTTATAGGTTTTTAAAGTTTTGAAATATTTTGAAAGTCATCACAAAATTATCCTATTGAAACATTGTCACATATTATTCTACAGAATTATATAAAGTATCCTGCTAGCATAATTTCACATGCATTTTAATACAGTAGAAATCTAATCTTTCATAATTGATCATTTGTTTAGAAGTTCCCACATTCTGCTGCCTTCCATAATGGATGGCTTCAACCCCTAAGTAATAGCTATGAACTTTTGTGTGTTCCTCTATAAATATAGAGGCCTTTTTAGAGGCTGTGTTTTTATAAGAAAGAAAATTACTCTTTATTTCATGCCATTTTGTGAAAAATTCAGCATCTAAAGAGAGTAAGCAAAGGCTATTTGATATTAAGGCAATATTGGATTTAGCTCTTGCATCTACTTTGAAAAATCCAAGACTGTCCTGAATTAGAGTGGAAATGGCTACTCGAGCCAAATCGCAATTGTCCCAAGCAGAATGGAAGGAGAAATAAGTAGGCTAAAAGGCTTAAGGATTAGGAAATGTTTATTTATTTTTAAATTAATTTTATTGAGAAATAGCAATGAGAGAGTTTCAAAACTGATTAATTGGACAGTTTCAATAATTAATACAATGCATATTGTGGTCTTCATAGTGGTTATTTGTAGTACAAGATGCAGACATGATATCCTGTCCAAATACTATTAGTACAAATCTTTCTTCTTATTGAATTAAGAGAAAATAGCTGTGTATCTATCTTAACTATTTTGTCTATACAGATACAAAATGGTCTTTCCTTCGTGTCACCTTTTTTGGTTTAGTTTTGTCAGAGATGGGTATTCCATTGCCATTTAAATATTGTAGATGCGTGAATTCAGCAAAATAATCCAATATAGTCCAGTAGTCCATAATAGTAGTGGGTTATCCATAGGACTGGTGATGTCAGAAGTTGTTGATTTAAGCTTTTTACAGCTGGTTAGTGTACTTATATAGGAAATAATTAACTTGCTATATAAGTAATGAGTGAAAGAAATTATATCTGCCTTGATAAGATCAATGTTCAGAATTTTCCTTTGTGAAAATCCAGTGAATTTTTTCATTACTTGTAAATATGGACTCAGAATTATTAAAATTAGGTGGTAGCATTTTTATATCCATGCAATTTAAGGAAAATTTATTTTGAATAATTCAAAATTGTAAACTCACCTGAAATAAATTAGCATTTTCAAGTATTAAAATATATTTTTCTATATTAGTTAATCTAATTTTAACATTAGATGTACAAAGTACTATATTTACTGGATATATCCTTCATAGTAAAAGCAAGCTAATTATCCAATTCAGGAATATCATTGTGAGTTTTATGCAGGGTAACACTTGGTAAATAAATGATTTGGGAAGATTAATGACTCTTCCTTATGGATCAGTATCAGCATTAAGCTTAAAAGGTCATGAAAACAAGTGCTGCCCAACAGGACATTCGACGCAATGAATGAAGACATCGCACAATACCAACTTAGGGAAAAGGAAAAGCAAGAAGTGGTGGGAAGGCAGCTATTGTCCAGAAGAATGAAATGAAATGCATGCATGTTGGGCTTCAACTGTTAGATATTTAAATCATGATTGCTCATTTCGTAGCATGGTCATTCTGTCAACCTAAACTTCTTTCATTTAAAAATCTGATTCATTTGTTTTGCATTTTTCACATTTTGCTGCTGGAGATGTAAAGAACCATCCCTGAATTTGCCGGGAAGTGTTCGTTACCTAACACAACTTAAAGTGTACTGATGTACTAACTTCATTATGGTGTTCAAGGACTTCCTCTGAGGTTACATTTGCCAAGATGGGAACTTTTCAAAGGTGTTTCTATCACTTGCAATTTCTCATTTTTCACTGAGGATATAAAGGTCTATGATAATTAGGGTACACATTCTTTTACTCATGGTCTATGCATTTCTTTTGCAATTTTTCAGCTAAAACTGTAGGTCAACTCAGATCTGATTTGTATGACTTCAATTTAGTTATGTGCTCAGAGAGAGTTCTCTAATCATTCTCTCTCTTTCTCTCTCTGTCTCTGTCTGTCTCTCTGTGTCTGTCTATGTCTCTCTCTGTGTGTCTCTGTATCTTGATCTCTATCTCTATCTCTATCTCTATCTCTACTTCTACCTCTGTCTGTCCCTGTCCCTGTCTCTTTCTCTGTCTCTCTCTCTCTACCTCTACCACTGTCTCTGTCTCTCTGTCTGTCTGTCTGTCTGTCTGTCTGTCTCTCTCTCTCTCTCTCTCTCTCTCTCTCTCTCTCTCTCTCTCTCTCTCACTATCTCTGTCTATCTCCCTTTTCTTCTCTCACTCTCATTTTTTTTCCAGAAAGACATAGTAAACTCTCTAGAAAATTTAGAGGAGAAAAAGTTTCCTGGAGAAGCCTCTATACCAAGCCCTAAACCCAAGCTGCATGCGAGAGATCTCAAAAAAGAGCTGATCACGTAAGTGCTATCCACTGCTGCGTCCTAAAGGATTATGGAATTAAGGGACTGAAGTTCCTAGTTTTGCATAATAATACTTTGGTTTATACAGTTGACTTTAGGATGGTTTTATACAAATTTCAATTAGTCAGCTGTTAAATGTCCAGCACATACCTGAACTTATGCATTGGACCAAATGGGTGTTTAAAAAAAAAAAAAAAAGCTTACAGGGTATGGTCATACGCTGAGAGAGCTGAAACAACCTGTTGATTAAAAAGTGAAGTCAGATGGAACCATCGAAGGGTGTATGTGCTGGCGAAAGCTGTCCGCTTGAGGTCCATTCATGCTAGAAGATCTAAATCTTGGCTTCAGGGAGTCTAGGGAGGTTGTAAATAACCACACCTTGCTACTTGCCTTGGAGAGTGAAGAGCCTTCATGACTTCTTCAGAGCGCTACGTGGCCCCCTACCCAGATCTAAGCATTACATAATGCACACATCAAAGCATCCCATTACACCCCTTAAGACATATGTAATGATTATATTTTAATTAAAACTGAAAATAAAATAAACACAGACTAGGCTACCCAAGGGCAGACAGTGAGTGGATTAATGAAATGCAGGGGACTATTTTCCATATGCAAAAGTTTGTCTATTAGTCAGTCAGGTATACTCAAACATGATAAATTTGTGGCTGACAACTAAAGAACATCTGAAAACACTAACTTGTCCACTTCGACACCAGGGCTCATGCCCTCTGTTCTATGTATCCCTATTTAAAAATTTTCACTAAATACAGGTTTAAAAGCCTCTCATTCCCTGGAGACTCTCTGCCTAGAATCTGTTTCTGCTCCCATTTATAGGTAAACTCCTAAGAAAGTTGTCAGTAATGCGTGACTCAGTCTCCCTCCTGAGTCTTTGCCAAACAGACGTTCACTGTCACCCTTCCACCCAAAGCACCTTGCAAGCTAAATTCTCCCTGGACCCCTCTCCTGTTCTGGCTGCTGGTCCTTGATTCCCTTGTTGCCTGTGGACGGGACAGTGGGATTCCACACGCTGACCCCACCTCCTTCTATGGTCTGTGATCTACTGCTGACCTTTAGTTTCTAGGGCCCCTCATCTGGGCCTCTCCCCTCACTCAATCCCTTCCTGGACTCAGGCGCAGCCCCTCCCCATGCCCCGCCCCGAAGGTTTGCGATGTCTCAGACCTCAGTCTTGGGACTTCTGGTCTCTCCCATCCACACTCTGCAATCTGCATCTTCACTGGGACCTCGGGATGCGTACTCCCCGGCCCACAGTGGCGGTGGCCTCTCCCCTTCCCGCAGGCCCTACTCTTTTTCCTTCCCTCCCTCCCTCCCTCCCTCCCTTTCTCCCTCCCTCCCACCCTCCTCTGCCCCCTGACACACCTCCAGCTCACCCAAAATGCGCCCTCCCTAGGGCCTCCCAGGGCCCTCTCTCTGCAGGGAGCCGCCCTCCGACTCACCTCCCGTCCCTCAGCTCTTCACTCAGATGCCCTTTATCCACGAGACTCTGGCTGCAGCAGTTGCTCGTCCTAGACCTGACACTCCACCCTCTTTCCAGGACCTTCTCTCATCAGCGTTTAGCACCATCCCCAGCGTGTCCCGTCGCCGGAGCCTTCACCTCCGTCTCCCCCACGGAGGCGATTGCAGATGGTCTTCGCCTTCTCTTCTCTACGCGGTGCTCAGCACCGGTGCTTGTTACGTGCTTTCTGCTCTTACTGCCCTCCAGGGGCCCAGAGCCTGGGATAGGGAGCCCGTCGCAGTGCCGGTGCCGGGTACAGGGCCGCAGAGGGCACGCGTCCGGGAGGGTATTCTTAGTCCAGCCTCGGGGAGTCGGTGCCACCATGTGCACCTGGTGCTTGGTGTCGGGCGCGTGCCCTCTGCACGCTGCGCTCCAGCTTCCACCAGACCTCGAGTGTTTGCAAGTGGCCACGAGTGTGAGCCACACGCTTCTTCCCACGCCGACGTGCAATCTTTGTGTGGCCTCTCTTTCCACAAGATATTTTTTAAATATCTTCAAAACCAGAAAATTTTTATTTTTTTAAAATTAGATCATTGGAAATTGCCCAGTTATTGTGGACTAAATATCATGTAAAAGATTATTAGGAGGCGATTCTATTTTGAATGATAAAAATGCAGCATAATTTGAAAAAGTCCTAAGAATTTGAACAATTGGCGCGTAGTGGTATGTTCTCAAGCAGAGACCTCCGACGTCACACGCGTTACAGACAAGATCCTCACCCCAGCCTGGGATGGTTATCGCTCATTCATGTGTATTTATGTTAATATATGTATTTAATATATTTTAATGAATAATATTTAATATATTTAATAAACATTTAATATATTAACATATATTGTTGCCATATAACACATTACTATATATTAATATATAACATAATATGTTACCATAACTGTTATATTTATTTTGTAAAAGTGACACTTTTATGGTGATACTCTTGTCCTCATGAGTTACTTTATTTTTATTTATTTTTTATTTTTTGTGGTACTGGGGATTGAACTCAGGACCTTGCACTTGCCAGGCAAGCACTTATTCTACTGAGCTATCTCCCCAGCCCTATTTTTTAATAGATAGTTATGCTTTGCTTACCAGAAACTGCTTGGTAAGAACGTTTTCTTTTGTCAGCCATACTACAATTTGTGTAGTGTCCATGCGCTACTTACTGAAGAAACTAACTACTTTTCCTCCTTTAATTTTGACGTAGTTTCTTTCCTTGGCACTGGGGCTGGAGCCCGGGACTCTGCCGCGGGGCTACCTCGCTCTTCCTTTAATTTTGGCGTTTCCACCGTCCAACCCTTATTCGCACATATACAGATTTTCACTGTAGATTTGGAATTAAATCTAGCTATCTGAATTCTAAACAGAAACTTTTGATGTTACTGTGTTACCAATTCTTTGGGTTTTGACCATTTTCTATCAATGAAATTGTAACAAATTTTCAGCTAAACAAGTGTACATTTTTATTATATTCATAGGAAACTTTCTATGGCTCATTTTTAAATTATTGCAACTTCTTTACCTGCTTTGGGCACGTGAATAGAAATAATTAAGAACAGAAAATAGAATAGAATAGAATAGAAAGTAAAATAAAAGAAGTGCATTTAGGGAACGCTAGGTGGCGATGTGTTACACCAAAGCTGGAAATGCAAGCAATTAAAACAAATCTCTCACCTCTAAATATTCCAGTTTTGTGATGTTCAGATAAGATTTTTTTTTCTGCATTTAATCTGGCACTATCAAGATAACTCAGCTCTAAATTAATCACTATTACTATTTTCTTTAATGTGGTGCATATGATCCACCCTTTCCTTTGTGATGTCCTATCCAGAAAAAGGGACAAAAGAATTAGACGACGCAACTTAGATCAAGGCTTGAACATCTGACACCTCTTCACCATTTTCATGGCCCTAGCTTTTCAGATTACCTGAAAATGATTGTAAAATAGCTCACAGGAAAAAAGACTACTTAAAAAGTGACAATTTTGAAACTATTGGAATGTTCATCACCTCACATGTCCCTTTGAAAGGCTGAATTCTGTGTTCTGCATGGGCACATTCGCTCTCGCTCTAGGAAGGCTGTCAGAGAGAATCAGACATGGGAGTGACGTTGCTGTTAGTCCCTTGGCTCCCAACACTGCTGCAAATAGCGCTGAGTAGGCCGCGTGGATCTGCGCACTCCCACTGGGTGACTTTCCAACAGCCTCATAGAAAATCAAAGCCCGAAGACCCAGAGTGTCTACTCGTGGAAGAAAAGCAGCTCAGGAGAACTATTTTTTAAAATATGCAAGGAGCCCAGGACAGGGCCAGTTTCTGGGATGCAGTGCAGCACAGGGGCTCCGCTGGGCGCACGCCTCTGACAGATGGCCTGGAAGGCAATTCTTAGTCTGACTGGGGATGAAGGACTCTGTTTCTTGGGTTACACACGTGTCTGGCAGCAGTCCTGTCACTGGAGCACAATGCCCAAGATCCACAGTTTAAAACAGGAGACATGTAATTATGCTCGAGGTATCAGGGGATTCGGTCCACGGTTATCATGGTGGAACTGCAGGGCACAGCGGAGAAGTTCAAGTCGTGAAGCAGGAAAAGTGCCAGAGAGGAGGGGCCCGGGGCCGAGTATGCCCAGCCCATCCCTCCAGGACACACCCGGACACACCCCAAAGTGTGCCGAGGAACCCCCTTAGTGGCTCCCATACCAATCAAGCTGTGAAGCGGGATGCAGTGAAGCGGGACTAGCACCGCAGCTTCGGGTGAAGTTGCTTCAGAGTGTACTAGCTGAGCTTCTTGCCTACTTCTGGCCTGCCAGCAACTTTCCCACCTAAAATACTCATTTTCACTGGAGTCAAAGATTTTTCTTTTGGGGGGGCATTGATATCTTTTTTTTAAATTAATTTTATTGAGAAAGAAATAGCAATGACACAGTTTTGAAACAGGTCAGTAGGATGGTTACAATAATTAATACATTGCATATTGTTGTCTTTGTAGTAGTTATTCAGAGGACCATATGCAGACATGAAATCTTGTCTAAACCCTATCAGTACAAATCTCTCTTCTCAATGAACTAAAAGAAAGTAACTGTATATCTAACCTGACTAATTTGTATATACAAATATATATATATTTTTTCACTACAAAATGGTCCTCCATTTATATCCCCCTTGTCAGGTACAAAAGTTACGTTTTTTGTCATATAGGTCTTGCTTTATCTTGGTCTTAACCATCCAACAGAACAGTACAAACACAGAAAAGTATAAAACATGAAGCCATATTAATATTCTGAGCTGTAAAAGCCTCAAGTCAACAACTTCTGACATTGCCAGTCCTGCAGATAACCCACTAGTATTATGGTCTCCTGTACTATATTGGATTATTTTGCTGAATTCACACACCTACAGAATTAGAATGGCCATGGGATACTCTTCTTTTCTACTGGTGGTATCTAGAATGTCTCTGAAGTGAAGCTAAGTTGGGCATGTGTAGCAGCTCCTTGCAATGAATGTGATCACTATGTACTGCCAACATGCGTTAATAAAAATGCACGTTCATTAAGTTATGAGGTTGCTCAAAACCTTAGAAAATTGTCATTCTTCGATCCATCGTAAAATTGCTGCAAGTCCTCTTAAGATCTGCTGTCATAGTAAAGCACGCATTTCCAATGTTTTTTTTTATAACATTGGTACTTTCAAAGAAATGCAACACTGTCAATTATTGACCCACAAAATATCTAAGACATACGTGTTAGCATCACTTAAATTATTTGAAGCAGAAAATTGGATATTAAACAGGCAGCTAAGGAAGCTCTTCCATGTGCTGTGTTTCTTAGCCTCTTAGCTAGTCTACCGGTAAAGCCGATGCCAACCCTCAATGTGGCAGCTTCTGCGTGTTGTGCGGTGTCAGCTTATCTTAGGGAAGATCTACGTCCCAGTCTAGGAACCTGCAAAGTGCGCCTGACGCTAATGGTGTGCTTCTCTGTCCATCAGCTGCCCAACACCGGGATGCGACGGCAGTGGCCACGTCACTGGGAACTACGCATCTCACCGCAGGTACCTGTGCCCAGGGCAAGTCTGCACTGCCTCGTGCTGTTGTTACCTTCACCCTTCCTTGGCCTGGAATGGCTGCTAGAGCAGATCCCAAAGCTGGAGTCCATTTTGGGCTTTGGTCCTGTCTAGCTTCCCGTGAGGACCCAGAAGGACCGGGGCACGAGCCTTCACCGTGTGGGAATGGCGCCTTTGCCCCAGACACTACCGTAGAGCGGTTCTGCAGTGGGAAGGCTGTGACGACGCCTTCCCATCTTCCTTCTTCTCGCTCTGATTAGCTTCCTTCAGGGAGCCGGTGGAAGCTGCTATGCTTCCCTCACCTGATGCTGCTGTGGGCATGCACGGGGCCCGCAGTCACCGGGCCACGAATTCTGGAGGTGGAGTGTTTCACTGAATGAAACCACTCAGCTGACTAGCAGCAAATCTCAGCATGGCAGAAATAATTGCAGCACCACAAGTGTGGGCTCAGAGTCGCACAGCCCAAACCAGACCCTGACTTTTGTCCCCAGCTCCCAGTAGCTAGTAATTTAGTGCGAGACACACTCACGCTGCCATCTGCACCCGATTGGCACATGTCAGTACTGTACTTTTTCTCCTTTCCCCTCCCTTTGTAGTGTTTCCGGATGTCCGCTAGCAGACAAGACTCTGAAGTCCCTCATGGCTGCCAACTCTCAGGAGCTTAAGTAAGTGTCGGAGGCGGAACCTGGACCTCCAGGCCTTCCTTCTCCTGGTGGGGGACCCTTGTCATTCAGCATCATTGCGACCAACGAGGAGCAAGCTACACTGCACTAAATGCAACAAGGCATCTTTCATGAGGAAGCTCAATGACAGCAAAACATTGTGATCTGGTTCATTTGCTTGCTTTGGAGGCCTTATACAGTATATTATAATAATGTTTAAAGGAAGGAAGTAATTACTAAATGCAGTATTTTTTTTCTGTTAATTCCAGACCTATGAACCAAGATAAAGCATTTCCATTACCTAATTTTGAACAAATTGTATGGTGTTTCACTTTCTGAGCCTTTAAAAGTCTTAAAACTATCTTTCACTTTTGGGTGCCAAACACAGTTGTGGTTCATTTCCACCCAGTCATGAGACCTCAGACTGGCAGATACGTTAACACTTATTATTTATTTTATTTTTCATTTTTATCTTTTTTTAGTCCACAATTTTCATTTGCTTGTTATCTCATTACATAGAGTATAAACCAGAACTTAAATCCATTGTATACCCTTGATAAAGAACCAACATAAAAGTTTGGAGTTTTACTACCAGAAACAGGAAAGAGAACTGTGAAGTGTGCATTTCTCATTTTCAAAGTGTTAACACAAGTTTCACTTTTGGAAATCATTTTATTGATGATCAACTTTTCTACACTGAAGCATAGGTAGTGATGAATAATTCACCAATTAAGCAGTGAATCTTATTTAATTATCTTAAATTTTCCTTTGCTACATCTTAATCATAGCTTAATTATAGCTATTGGCTCTCTCACTTATTTGCTCTAAATATTACTTCAAAACAGTAGATCAAGAGGCTGGCCTGATAGCCCAGTGGACTAAAGCGCCTGCTTTGGCAAAGTGCAGCAGAGTGCAGCGGCTGGGATTTGATCTCCAGCCTGCCGTGCTGCCCCCACCCCCGGGGCACACTGCGACAGGGATTGAGACGGGGCGTGGTGGCACATGCCTGTAATCCCAGCACTTGGAAGGCTGAAAACAGGAGGATCACTGCAAATCCAATATAGGTAGTGAGCCCCTGTACACCCTGTAGACCCTGTCCTAAATACAAACAAAACGAAGAATCAAACAGTGGATCATATATTGAAATCCTGTAGCCTGAGAGATCCTTGAACTATTGAACATTTGTGTTTAGTGCCAATGTCAAACAAGCAATATTTTGGGTTTTTTTATGCAAGACAAAAGACATTTTTTGGCCTCTTGCTTGGATAGTCAAGAAGAATCTCCTAAAAAGACCCCCAACCATTTGGCACACGTGTCTCCACAAGTATAATATGCCTGTAAAACAGGGTTTCACTAAAAGCCATTAATTGAGAAAGATAAGCACACAAGGTCTCCTCACCATAGAGAATATGCGTTGTCTGTAAACGGTTAAGTACTTACGCAGGTTTCTCCCATTAACTAGAAGCAAAGTATGATTTTCTATGTTATTCTGAACTTTTTGTGCCCATGGATTATTAGATACAAAAGTATCCCATAGAAGTTAATAGGGATTTTTGTACCAGGAATCGAACTCAGGACCTTACACTGCTAGGCAGGCACTGGGCCACTGAGCTACAGCGCCAGCAATAGAGATTAAATTTAAGTAAAAGGAGAGTGCTCAGAATTTCCTTTAGATTATTGCCTTTCTCAACTGGAACCCTCGTGTGGGTGGAGAGCTGAGTGATAAGCATAATGTGAAATAATAAATGAAGGTGACCTATACAAAAACCTTCAGAAAACAAATATTTTGGGATGGCCTCTTTGTATTTATACTGGAGATTTTTAATAAGCAATAAAAAGATGAATATCTTTATAGACTTGTTTTGAAGTGAACTTTGAAAGACATTCCTACACAACATTCCAAGTAGAAGTGTACTTATCTTCCTTTTTTATCTATCTATTCCAAATTTAATGCTTTATTGTCAGTAATAGTTAGGGGTAGATTGTCACAAAGACCAGCTAACCGAAGCCAGGGGCAGCAGAGAACAGGCGCAAATCCTTTGAGTTCTCTGATAATCATATTCAAGCGCCAGATCGCTTCTGTTCCCGTACACCACGGTGTTCATGTGAAATTGATGAATTATCAGGGTAGGACGGCATTATCAGAGAGATAAATTATTCATGGAGACAATCTGGAGAAGTGTTCTTGTTACATGAAAGATAAGAACTTCACATGATGGAGACAGAAGCCCAACAGTAAGTTGTGGGCTGATTTTCTAGTACTTTCCAATATAAGATTTAAAAAAAGAATGTATAATAGATAGCAACTAGTATTTTGTCTACCAAGCATCCCATAGCAGTTTCATATTTTAGATTTTTTCCCCCCAAAAATGGGTTCTTAACCAAAAGCTAATCATGTTTAAGCCGAAAGGAAAGGCAAAGAAAATTGCCACCAATGCAGCTGCTGGTTGTGTCCAGTTCCATCAGAACGTGTTGTGACCCCCTGACCTCACGACCCACACACTGTCCCTGTGTTTCCCAGGTGTCCAACCCCAGGCTGCGATGGTTCAGGTCACGTGACCGGAAATTACGCGTCCCACAGAAGGTAGGCCTCGCCGCGGGGAGGTGGAAGCCCTTATGCCAGCGTGCAGCGAGGTCACAAGATGTCGTGCCGGGGTCTTCTCTGTTCTATCTTTTAGCTTGTCAGGCTGCCCTCGTGCGAGGAAAGGCAGTGTTAAAATGACCCCTACGAAGGAAGAAAAAGAAGACCCTGAGCTTAAGTAAGTGCGTGACTGGAAGCGTCAGCGGCTGCTGTGTTATGCTGGCTGAGGGGGTGAAGCTGAGTTTGGGGTGCCGTAGAACCTGAGAGGAGACAGGCTGTATCCACCATCAGGCCCCTGATGGTTACCCTTTTTTGAGTTCTTTACAGAGAACGCAGCCTTTTGGAAGTGCTGTAGGATAACACAGATAGCAGTATTTCCCTGAGACTAGAATTCTACGTAAGGTGAAATTTTGCCTAAGTTGGATTTCTTCCAAGAAATACTCTACCAGGGTTTGTGTAACGCACACGGTATAGATGCAGAAATATAAATTTTTTTCTCTACAGCATTTCTAAATGCAGTATTTGAACATTTGCACACCAAAGCTGTAGTGCCCCAAGTGTGGCGCCACGGAGCACTGATCCACATAGTTCTCGTGTTATACTCCATGACTTTGTCCAAAAACAATGCAGTTTAGTGCTTACGTGAACAACTCTGAAGCTTAAATGTATAACTATGAACTTGACTCCAAAACTGCCTGGCAAATCAGCGAAGTCCTACAAACCTCATTTTTCCTACCTACAAAATGGGGTAACACCACTCTACCCAGTGCGTTTGCAGTGAATATTAGAAGAGGTAATTCATGGAAATTGCCCTGGGGCCCACTGTTACTATTGAAGCAATGCTGTTTTGCCACCCGTGAGAGCAACTCTAATTTCATGACTTGCCCGCTGGATAGTATGGGACTATTTCTGCCTGTTTCCCAGCTGGTGACATCTCCGCTGTGTCTCTCTAGATGTCCTGTAATAGGATGCGATGGCCAAGGTCACATATCAGGTAAATACACGTCACACCGGACTGCTTCAGGATGTCCCCTGGCCGCCAAGAGACAGAAGGAGAATCCTCTCAATGGGACTGCTCTCTCCTGGAAACTGAACAAGCAAGAACTGCCCCACTGTCCCCTGCCAGGCTGCAATGGGCTGGGCCATGTAAATAATGTTTTCGTCACGCACAGAAGGTAACATTTGTTTTTTGTCGTTTTGTTCTGCTGTTGTCATTGGGTGTCACCTGGATAGCTTTGAGGGTAGGGGGCTAAGCCCTCCTACATGTCATTAGTTACAGTGCTTTTGATAAAACACTGAACCTTGCTAAGTAGATATTTGACTCAACTAAGTAACAAAAAATGAGGTTCTAGTTCTGAAAATATCCTACATGGCTCTCAAGTGCTCTAGGGACTGTGCATTTGTGTGTGTGTGTTTTTGGTATTCTAAAATATTGTGTTTGCTGCTATTTTTAAATGAATATGGTTCTGTCTTTTGATGATCACTTCAGTTCCAAGTGGTGTTATCGGCTCTATTTTGGTATGTAATTGTAAACTCTCGCTGTACCTGTTTGTGTCATTCCCCCCACCTTCATGAATTGGCTGAGTTTCAGGCAAAAATTTCAGCAAAAATTATTTTGCTGCTAGAAGGATGTGACAGATCCACAGCAGCCGGAAGGCAAGAGACATCCTGACTACTAAGTAGAACAGGGGCAGAGGAGACCGGAAGGCCCCTCACAGCCTCGCAGACCTTTATCACTGAGTACTGTTTGTCTCAACCAAGGCCACAGTGGGCAGGAATCACTTGCTCCAGTCCTGGCTTCACATTCTACCTAAAGGATTCGTGCCTCTCCCATCTTTGAGCCCTTTATTTTCCTGTGAGTTGGTGTTCATCATTCTGGTTTAAACTTCAGTGATGCTGCACACTTATAATCTCAGCACTCTAGGAGAAGGAGGCAGTGAGATGGCAGATGTGAGCCCAGCCAGCATAGTTTAACAACTTAGTGAGAGCCTGTGTCAAAGTTTAAAAAAGTGTGTGAGAGTGCATTCTCAGGGTTATCAGTGTCACAGAATAAAAAATAAAACAGAGAAGCTTCAGGAAAATGTTGATGTTTTATTTATGAGCCCTGCACAAAGGAGTGAAGTTAGGGTACTTTGACAGTTCATTTCTAAGATAGAGACTAGTGGAATCAGAAAAGAAAGCCTTTCGAGAATGGCTCATTTCATGGTTGTCCTTGAAATGTGCCTATTAAGAAAATCTGAATCTTTCTTTCTTTATATTAGTTTTTTTGAGAAAGAAGTAGCAATGAGACAGTTTCAAAACAGGTTAGTAGGACAGTTACAATAATTAATACATTACATATTGTTGTCTTTGTAGTAGTTATTCATAGTACAAGATGCAGACGATATCTTGTCTAAACACTACTAGTTCAAAACTTTCTTCTCATTGAACTAAGAGAAAGTAGCTGTATATCTATGCTAACTACTTTGTATATACAGATATATATATTTTTTCACTACTGAATGGTCCTCCATTTATATCCCTTTTTTGTTTCCTTTTGTCAGAGATGGGCACTCCATTGCCATTCTGGTTTATTTTCCATGACAAGCTTGGATTCACCATTGCCTCGCAGTTTTATTTAGAATTTAAGGGCTGGGGAAATAGCTCAGCGGGTTAAGCACCTGCCTGGCAAGCACAAGGATCGGGGTTGGATCCTAGTACCACACGCTGTGCTACCCATCGAGTCTGAGTATGGTGGTGCACGCCTGTAATCCCAGTGCTGGGGAGGCTGAGACAGGAAGAGCACTACCAGTCTGAGCTTCCTAGTGATGCCCTATGCCAAATAAGTAAATAAATGAACATAAATAAATAGAATTTAGAGCATTATTTCATGTTCAGGAACAGAGGTCCTCATCCATGCGTGCCCTACACTGTGTCACCTACCATCTGTCTTATAAAGGCTGATGAAGAAATGGCTTCGCATTGCTTTCTCGTGCCTTAACAGAGCTGCAGATTGGGCAGAGTCATACAGGGCAAACTTTTCTGCCTTTTCAATATGGTATCCATACCCTGAAGGTTACAACCCTTAGCATGCCAAAGTCCAAGTTCAACAGGATAAAGAACTTTGAAATACTTTTCCTGCTCAGTTTTTTAAATTTAGCATTTGTTTTACCCAGTACCATAAAAATAAAATCAAACAAAATAAAATTTGTTTTATATCCAGAAGAATATAATTACACTGAAATATACCAAGTACCAAGTAGCATTTTTGAAATCAAAACCCTAACACTGTAACTTAGCTGTATACTTTGGTTCTAAGACATGTAATTGGAGACATCATGTAATTGCTTCATTAACTTTCACACGAGAGCTTATCAACCTAGAACTATGCTTCAAGTGGTCTAGACAAAGTAGAGCCATCTGGCCCAGGGGGTGAGGGGGGCTTTAAGGAAATGCTACTATCATCCATTAGTTTACAAACATCCTCACTACAGGACCTTTAAAACTCCACCTCACCAAGTACTCATTCTTCCCATCCGTGACCAAGTGCTGAGAACACACGTGTGACAATAAGATAAAATTGTGCCAACTCTCTAGAAAAGACTATAATCGTGAAGCTTATCTGAATCATGATCGATAGAAGCTTACAGAACAGAAGGCACTGTTCTGAGTTCAGTCTGTGTCTCTCATTTTTTTCCTTCCTGTATAAAATAATTCACCACTTGCCAAATCTGAACAAGCTACTTACTATCTATAATATTCCCTATTACTATGTATCAGGTGTTATATTATTGCTCATATTTTGTAGAACCTTAGTGTAACATAATTTACTCTTCTTTAAGAAAGACACTGACTCCCATTTATTAAGGGCTTTGCTCCAGAAATATTTTCTTCTATTGTACACAGCATCACAAACTTCAGGTCGACACGAGGGCTTTATGTGTGAAACTATATTTTAAATGGCTGATTATGGTCACTTTCATTCTCATCTAAAATTTGATTATGCAAAGACCACAAAAATGAAAAAGAATGAATGGCCACTCGGAGCAGCACAGCTGTCTGATCATAGCTGATGGAAACAAGGTCTTGTTCAATGTTGTTACTATCACATTCGTACAATTTACATAAAAGAGACGACATGAAAGGAAAGAAGCCTGCGGAAGAGCACGAGTGGTCAGTGAGCAGGGTGAGCAGTGCCACCGAGGAGAAGAGACGCTCCGGTGCTCTGCCTGCACACACGGCAGCAGCTTTCATTGTTCTCCTTTGGGGCTGGAGATATTTTTTTAAATGAAAAAAATGTTTCAGTGGTTAAAGAATTTAAATCATTCCCATATTCGGACTGAATTTGCCACAGGGAGAGTGGTGAAGGACTCTGGACTTCCGCTGAGTCATTATGTAAAGCGCAGACCACACTCTGGACGCGAACAGGAAGGCGAGGTTAGGCTTTCTTTTTCGTGGAATTCTGAGCAGTCAGGAGAAATCCTTATTCATCACCTACATGTACAATTTTCTATTTACAGAACATAAAGTGGCCACCACAAAAATGAGGGCACTTTTACAAGTGCAGCAGAGTAGCATCCGCTAACAAAGTGAATTAAATCATGGTAGTGTAGTAGCAATGAATATCTGTACTTCAATTCAAGGAAAAAAACACAGAAAACATTTTCCATTACTGGAGAGCCTTTTGCCTTTGGCTTAATAGGTATTTATTGGTTATTTTCTACAACAAGCCTATGGCTCATGGTATAATTAATACACAAAAACATCAATAATAGATAGTGAATGAAACTTTTTAATTTTTGTCATAAATAATATGCATTTCACATGTTAGTGTAAATTCTGTTTTCACAGCTTATCTGGATGTCCTCTCAATGCACAAGCTATCAAAAAGGGCAAGGTCTCTGAGGAACTAATGACCATCAAGCTCAAAGCCACCGGGGGTGAGTGCCTATTTCCACTGAAGCCTGGACATAGCTTTGCAAAAGTGCTGAGACTTAACACATGTACTGGAGGTGCTGCATGCTCCACATATGTGCTGCCTGCATGTGTGATTTTAACACACGAGAGGAAAGGTCTACTAAGATTTAAGCATCAACAAAAAAATTCATCTGAGAATCAGTTTCTTAGGGTTTTCACTTTTCTTCTTCCTCTTCCTCCTCCTTTTCCTCCTCCTCCTCTTCTTCCTCTTCGTCTTCTTCTTCTTTCGCAGTGCTAGAATTTGAACTCAGGACCTTAAATGCTAGACAACTGTACCTCTGAACCACACCCCCAGACCCCCTCCCTCCCTCTTTAATAAGAATCCCTAACAGAGAAATCAGGAGATAGTATTGTGGGGACACACAACAATTGTGTCTTTCAGTTTGGACAATGGTGTGTGTGTATGTGTGTGTGTGTGTGTGTGTGTGTATTTGTGTGTGTGAGCACATGCACATGTACATTCTTGGTGTAAGTTGCTCCTCAAACTTCAGGAACACAGTTTCTCACATGTATATATTAGAACCTTTAGGTACTGTTCTTCTGTACTCGAAAGAATATTTCCCAGTGATTCTGCCTGTGTTACACGCAGCCCCCGCTCTCCATGTCTTACACATCTCCCTAGGGCAAGTCCCTTTCCAAAGCTAAGCTACTAGTGCACAGTTTCTGGGTTCCAGTGTGGCTGTTCCCTGCATCACTGGTCCTTCGGTGCCTTTCTGCTTAGTGCTATCCCAGGCCCATCAGCGATCTCTCCACAGCTTGCGGGGCATCACGGCATGGCAACCACTTTGCCTCAGAAACCATATTTGATGTTGATGTCTTTGGCCCATGACTAAAAATTTTCTGTCTAGTTTTGTTTTTCATTTTGTTTTGGTACTGAGCATCAAACCCAAGGCCTTTTCCATGTCACTGCTCTGCTGTAGCTCCCAGCCCAAGCTGAGGACTTTCCGCAGCTGCCATCTGATTTCTCTGAAAGACTGATTCTTTCCTTTTAATGTGAGCATGAGGGGTTTCCCTTGTTTTTGAGGCAGGATCTCCCTGTGTTGTCTGTGTTGCACAGGCTGGCCTCGAACTCTTGAGTCTTCCTGGGCTTCTCTTGCCTCAGCCTCCAGGATAGCTGGCATAGGAGTTTTGTTTTGAAGATTTAAAAAGAAGGTATGCAGCATCTCAGAGAGGAGGGCCTCTCCAGTTTGCCCCTGTCACCTTGCTAAGCTCTTCATTTGGCCCTTTGGTGGGGACCTCTTGCCCCTTTCTGCTCCCTGTGATAAGCCAGGGAGAGTTATGCCCATGGGAGGAGGAATAAACCTTGTCCCCAGATGTTGGGACAAAGCCATTGTCCTCCAGGCTCTCCACCATCCAGACCTCAGCAAATGCCCTGTCCCCAACGCTTTTGCTGCTGCTTGGAAATACTCCAGAGTCCCCAAATGCCTGTCTGTTGTCATTAAAATTGGGACAATTTAATGTGCACTTATTTGTACATCCCCTTAATTCAAACAGTACTTAAAGGGCAAGAGTGTGAAGCTACAGAAAAGAAAGCTATTTAAAAATTAATTCAAACAAGTACAGAGGAAAATCAACAGAAAGAAGGCAAGACAGGAGAAGTCCGGGGACTACCAAAAAATGTGCAGCCCACTCCATTTCCCGCCCAGTAAATAAGACCTCAAATCTGACCTCACTTTTAGAAGTCAAAGCAAGAGGAGTATAATTGCTCCTGAATCACACTGTAGGAAGTAAATTCACAGCAAACAAGTCTCTTTCTAGAACTGACTGCATG